AATCCTGGGCTCTCGCATCCATGTGCAGCTTGCTCTTATGCCAGCCTGAGGCTCTAAACCCACAGACACCTATATGGCTTCCAGCCTTGCAGGGCACCTCATCTATTACTTAGTTTTGACAGTTGCCTTAATTTGTCCCTAGTGTTTGTAATCCCCATAATATCATACACTGACCCTTTGATAAAGACAGCATGCTGACACCCAACAATCCCTGCTCCCCTTTCATGGCATACATAGCATAGGGAAGTGGGTGCCCAGCCAGGAGCTATGTTCTCTTGCCCTGCTGTATTTAGTTGAGCCACATGATTTATTTTAGCCAGTAAGATATGACTCAAAGTGAGGAAAAGTGGTTAGGCAGCAACTTTGCGTTGGCAGTAATCTCTTTCCTTACCTTCAGACTTAGTAGAGAGGGCTCATAATATCAATAAGGGTGAACCATGGAAACACCCGAGTCCCTCAGTCCTACCCGACTAGGCACAATGTACCGACTGTGACAGGAGCACAGAACAGACTACTGCTGGAAGCCACTGACGGTTTAGACACGTTCTGTCGGTGCAGCTAATTGCTGTGTTAATGCCTTTGGATGCCTGTTCCTATTATGGGCATGTGGTAGAGACTCTCGAGGTTCCGTGTCACTTGCCACCCTATTTTGGAACGTATGGTGCTCTCGCTCTAGCAGGGCCTTTGTTTCATAACAGGAAGATCATCTGGCAACAGCTTCACAGTCTTTTCCTCTGAACTCACCCACCTAAAGTGCTTGAGAAATGTTCAACAAATTTGCTTTGTTGATTGTTTTTTGTTTCCTATCGGGTCTTATCCCAACTCCTCTCACCTCCACATGGAATTTTGTGGATGATGGCCAATGTCTGTGACGTGTCAAAAGGAATCACGTGGATGAATTAAAGGAGTTTGAAATGTGGTCCAGGCATGTCCTCTTTCTGGAGCAACCCTCGCCCTCCTGGCAGCTGTGGTACCAAGGTGGAAGTCTGAGGCTCCACCTCAGAAGTTCTAAGTTCTCATCCTGAATGCTGTACTTTCAACCTGTGGGACCTGGCAAAAGACACTAAACTTCTGAGACTCTGTTTCTTAATGTATACATTGAGACTATTACAGATATTTAAATAATTAAAGAGAATCAGGACTAGCAGATGATGTAATGGTTACATCGTTGGACTCCCATGTAGTCAACTGTGGTTCGAGTTCCAGAACCAGCAGCTTAAAACTCACACTGGGCTCATGTTCTTATGTGCCCCAAATCCTGAGGGGAGACTGGAGAAGAAGGGGCTGTGGCGTGGACATCCCCCCCAGGGAGTGATTTCTTACTTTTTGTCTCTCTGACTTTCTGGTAAGCTCACAAGCTCTATAGTAAAAACAAAACAAAACAAAACAAAAGTTCTCTGGAAAAAAAAAAAGAGGATAATTGCTCTATGAATCCTAGCAAATAATTTTCAAATTCATCTTAGCCTTTTATCCCACATGTGGTTACTGATGAATAAAATAAGAAAACATAAGTACCAATGCTTAAAATAATGGACACATGCAACCCACCCAAAGGCTTATTCCTTTCTTCTTTGTATCCATAAGGTATCCAAATATATAGTATGAGCCAAATAGTGGCCTGGTGGTTAAAGCAGTTAGATTCCAACTGGCAGAATTCTGAGTTTGAGTCCTAGACAAGGTAGTTAAAATGTATGCTGAGTGCATGTGCTTGCATGCACAAAATCCTGAAAAAGAGGGAAAGATGGAAAAGAAAAGATTGTGGTATGACCACTCCCTGGGGGGAATAAAGGCTTTCTTGCTTTCTCTCGCTCGCTCTCTCTCTTCTCTAGAGAGTGCACATGCTCTCTGGCAATTTTTTTTAACTGAGTGTATTTATATATAAATATAAATAATATAAATGTAAATTTAAATCTAGGCTCATCAGAAAAGTCATGTTGCATTTATGCATAGAAAAATAGAAATCTCTCTCTCTGAGAGAGCGAGAGAGAGAATGTGTTTGGGGTTTTGTCTAAAACAGACCTCAAAGCCTATAGAGGCAAAATTTAGGATCCAAATGATCAGTAGAGTGCAGACATGTTTCATAAAATCTAGCACTTTCTACACATTGAAATATATTGTAAAGCTTGATTTAAACTACTTTTTCCAGTAACTATCACCTTATGAGAAGATACAATAGTATATCAAAATTTTTGAAACTTTAAAAATATAATTATAGTTTAGGATAATCTCTTTATTAAGTCAGTTGGCTGAAATTACTTTAATAAATGAAGTTGGGAAGAAAGAGAATGATGTAGAGTCCTTTAACCAGTAACTCCGTGTCTAGGTCCAACAAAGAAACTTAAAGTAAGTCTCGGATCGTACACTGTTGATTTGCTTGTTATCTACGCTACCCAATATGCTGAAAAACATTTAGAAGAAGCTGTCATGGCTAAGTCTATTATTCTAATATTTGAGACCCTGCAAACATCAATAGCTTGCAGTTGCTGTTAATTATGCATTGATTTCACAGAGATTGTCAAAATTTTCACGGTGCGAAGGCTCTTCTCAAAACCACTAAAGAAACCACAGTTTCTCCTGACCTTTGTTTTTCCTCCTGGAGAGAGAAAAAATAGGCATTGATATAAAAATCAAGGGAGGCTTTTGTCAATAGAGGATTTTCTTTGTGCAAGTATTCTATTCATATTCAGAAAATATTTTTAAAAATTCAACTGGATTTCTCAGAACAATCGATTCTTTTTTTTCCTCTCATATAAGAAAAATAATAGCAGAAACAGTAGCATATATTTTTAACTGCACTAACAAAAACAACAACACAACAAAAATGGCATACTTCCTGGAACCCAATTAGTGGAAATAATCATTTAAAGATAAGTCACATATCTCTATGAAAGCATTATAAAAATTTGAATAACTTCTTTTCACAGAACATGAAAGAGCTCTCCCGTCACTGGATTTAAGCAATGAGCAATGCCATGACAAACACTTGGTGTCTTTTTTTTCCTCTAAATAAAAAGAAAGTCATCAACTCTTCAGTGACCTCTTACTCACTTCCCAAAGTCCTCAACTATAAAGTGCAATTCTACCTCAGAGTCATGCTTTGGGCGTTGGATGAGGCAATGCTATCTTCCAAAGTGTAATGTGATAAACGCATCAAATTTGCAATCAGCAGCAGCACCATATAGTTGCACGTCCATATTTTAGAGTAGCACTTTAAAATTGCACACTCAGAATTCTTCTTGGTGGTCTCCTTTAGGAACTGCATCTAATAAATACTACAGTAGTTTCTCATAAGATGATAGTTATTGGATCATTAATAAGTAATTACGGCACAGAATAGAAATCTACTCATCATATTGTGAGAAGAGAAACATATAAACAGGTCCACATTAAACCACGATCTACTCCCTCCAAAGTGATATTATTCCAGTTATTAAGTCCAGTGGCTACTATCTAGCAGACAGACACTCATTATGAGCCTGCTACATGTCAGGCCCCCATGGTAGACACTGAGCACAAATAAAAAATTGACTGTCTTTGTAATGTGCTGGGTGTATAGTTTCATTTAATCCTTAAACAACTTTGCAAAGTCAATATTTGTTTATCCATATGTTAGACGATGACATTTATTCTTAGAGAAATTAAATAGCTTCTAAGTGTCAAAGGAAGGACTTGAATTTGGATAAGATTGACTCTGAGTTCTAAGCTCTTCTTTTTAGGTAATGCTATTTTTATTAAAAACAAAACAAAATAAATTAAAATTTTTTGCTGTTTGAGTAGTCTAGATATTTCCTTAAAGCCTAATTTTTAAAAGTTAATTTATTGCTTCTATGCATAAGAGGCACAGAGAGAAAACAAGAGAGAGACCAGCAACTCAAACAGGGTTTTCACTCTGTGGTCTGCCCCCACTGCCACTGGAACAGGCACAGGTGTGTGTCCGTTATGCTCAGGGCTGTTGCAGGACTCAAAACAAGGACCTTTCCCCTGTGGATCCAGCTGCATTACCACTGTGCAACTTCAGGGCCCCAGCTTTCTCTGTATATCTCATTGAGGGCCCTCTTCGACCTTAAGGCACCCCTATAAGAAGGCTGATGCTTAGTCCTGCTGGAGCTCATCCATGTGGCAGGCAGAAAGGATGGGGAATGGTGTGGATGTGGTTCCCACCATACTTGTCTTATCTGTGTGTCTCACTGACATGCTCCCCTCGGTGGCCTGGACCTGACAGCTGGATTTATCACTTTCCCTCTCTGTCTTGCTCTTGTCAAATGAAAGAATAATAGTAATGAATTAAATTGAATTAAATACTTATTTTTCAAAAATAAAGAACATTATACATTTTAAATTTTGTATTTTCATTGTGTTCATATCTGAGACTGAATTAACAGCTTCTCTTGTTGATACAGTTTCTACACAGATTATTTTACTTTTAAATATGTGCTGAGAAGGGTCTTCACTATTTCCCCCACATTAGAATATAGAAAAATGTAAGATAATATATGCAAAAAAAATTTTTAAAAGAAAATAAAGTGTTTACTGAGCAACCCTACCATGAAAGAACTTTCTGGTTTTATCCCATCTTACTTGCAGAACCAATCTATAAATTGGGTATTCTTAATTACATTTTATCCAAAAGAAACATAGGCACAGAAATAATACTTAATCAGCCCAAGGAAATATTATTAGCAAATAATAAGATTTTTAATTTTTATTTATTTTTTATCTTTTTGGGCCAGGGATGGTATTACTCAGTAAGCATAATGGCAAATAAGAGATATAGCCAATAAGCAACAGATGGAGCACTGAACACAAAGCTCTCTGGTATCAAAGTGCATCCTCCTTCCAGAACAGAAGGGTGAGAGTCATTCATTTTTAAATTTTTACCATTGCATAGTATGCTATTAACCACACAGTAGATGTGCTATAAAGTGTGAGCTTAATGATTATTTCCCAAGCTCTGATTATTAAACAAAGTGAGAATTCTTGAGTTTTCAGAGAATGAATTTAGACCAACAGAGCACAGGCAAACTAATTGAAGAGCCATCAAAACATCAGGGGAATGCCAGCTGCAATTGTCCCTGTATGTCACTGGCTGTAGCACATTGCTAATGAGAGGTCGGTCATCTGTTTGATGGTTGTGTGATCTCCTTAGTTTTATTCTATTCTGTGGCCAGAGACTGCACCCCTAACCCCAGCCAGCTGTCTCTGTAATTTATTCTGCTGATGAGTAGGGAGAGTAAGCCAAAGAGTATGGCTAGATTCAGTTAGAATCCCAGACCTTCAACACAGGAAGATACGTGTTCAGCACAGGCTCCAGAGATTATCCGGTTTACATAATATTGCAGATGAGGAGACAGACAGAGGTTATGGGGATCTTTCAAACACTCATAGCCAAGTAGCACAGTAACAGAGCCAAGGTAAGAATCTCTGTCTCTTAGCTACCGTCTAAACCCATTCGGAGTATTAACCATGAGGGGAGGATGTAGTACCCTCCTAGTATTTATTCCTGTATCAATGCTATTTTATGATAATATGTCCTAACTAGGTAATGATTTATAGTTTAAAATGCTCTTTGATACCCACGGCAGTTTTGAAATGTGATTAGGGATGTTACTATCATCTTAATTTTATAGATGTGAACACTGAGAATAAGTGACTTCCATCTGATCAGAAGTGTCACTAAAATGCCAGCGAGAGCCATAATTCTCACTCTTTACATTTTTACCTGTTGCTTATCTTATTATACTGTTTCCTCTCCAGGTGATATTTTAAGCAATTGACAAGATTCCAGAAGATGTTTTTAATCTCATTAACTATCCTTTTGGATAGTCACTACAGCATAATAAACAAAGACCTTCCCAAGGTAGATCTTGGGAAGAACTTGTTTCTAAAACTGATTCCACAAACTCTTAGTGAAACAGCCTTGAGCAAGTCAGTTAACTTATTGAACCTCCATATATATTTAAAGCTGGGGTGCTAATACAATAACTGATGCATATACTGTTTGATACCAGTTTTGACAGTTTCAGGTGAGATAATCTGTTTGAATCCTGTAAACAACAGAGTGGTTTGTAAGCACTTAGGCTGAAAGAGATCCAGTTGGAAATTTTTAGACATGAGATATTTAAGTAGCCAATGGCAATTTTTAATGCTAACTTCTTCTGGAATGACTTTTATACATTTTTTTCTCCCCAGGACTTCCATTACTGTCCTGGACTTAATTACTTGGAAAGCACTTAATAACAGAGTAGAAGCAAGCAGAAATGCGTGAGAAAAGTAGAATTTAATATTTTTCTGGTTGTTACATAGTTATAATTACTCACTTAAACTATAATGTCACATCAAAGCTGAAATGTTAACAATGCTACTATTAGCATTTCACAATATCAAAAATATAGCTTTTAATACCATTGTAATAATGTTTCAATTTTCTTTCACATATAGACAGCCAGTTTAATCTAAGATGGAGGAAGAGGAAAAACAGCATCACCTTTATTGACGTGTACCTCTGTACCATCAAAATGATCAATCCAGAGAATGACTAGGTAATGCTTATAGTTGATATGCATTAATATATGTAAAGTTAAGTTCCTTAGATGATTCAAAAATTATCTTACATATTAAGAAGCCAGTGATCTGGCTAGCTGTGCTAACACATGCTATATATTACTGTTCAGCAGATTGATTCCACATGAGAGTTCCAGGTTCAATTTTCACCCCACCATAAAAGCAGGGTGCAACAGTACACACCTGTCCCAGCTACCTGGGAGGCTGAGACAGGAGGATCACTATATAGTGAGATCTTACTTTAAAACCAAAGATCACACACACACACGCTAGCAATCTAGTCCAGGATAAAAGACTATCATTCAAGATAGTATAAGAATCGGGAGCCAGCAGTTAGCGTAATGGCTATGTCGCTGGACTCCCACGTAGTCGACCGCGGTTCGTGTCCCGGACCCGGTGGCTTAAAACTCACGCCGGGCGCGTGTGCGTGCATGCCCAAGATCCCGAGAGGAGAATGGAGGAGAAGGGATTGCGGCATGACCATCCCCCCTGGGGGGTGATTTCTCGCTTTCTGTCTCTATGTCTCTCTCTGTCTGTCTGGTGAGTGCACGCACCCTACAGTGAAAATCTCTCCCCCCCCAAAAAAAAAAAGATAGTATAAGAAACTATACTATTCATGGATTTCTCCAACTAGTGAAGGTATAAGGATTTATTGTTTGCCAACCATCATATTAACCGAAAAGGCATCCTTAAAGAGGAAAATAAACAAGAGAAGAAATACTTGCCAAACTGTCTGATATGAATTACAGCAGGGGATGGCCCTGATACTGCACAGAGAGGACAGCGTTTTGATGTGCTTATGAAGAACAACAAGGATTTCACACAGTGGAGATATTTGAGATGATTCTTAGAGAACGACTATTTTCACCAGATAGATAAGAGGGACAAAGAGCTGTTCAAGAACAAAAAGAAATCAAGCGAAAACTCAGGGAATGGTAAAAGCACATAAAAAAGTAATGTCAGGGCTTTGTTTTAGATGCTTTTCTATTTTTTTCTTCCATCTCAATTTGTTTATAGAAGACATAACCATTCTTTAAAACTTAGTTCACAAGCCAATCTTTGAATCCTAATTTGAGCTTAATATTTCTCCTTTTGATTCCATAGCACTCAAGTGCTACCTCTGTGACTGGATGCACTGTATTAAATAGACCTACCTACTCATGTGTTCTGCTAGTTAATTAGCATCTCAAATACAAAGATTAATCTTGTTCATGTTGATGCCCTCACTACTCACCACTATCCCTGGAACACAGTGTTACTTTAAATACTAATTAAATTCTATGTGGAAAAAAAAATCAATTGAAATAATCTCTTTTTTTTTCACACATTAAAGGAATTTTTAAATGTTATTTTAGTTTCCATGAGCAAGAAAGATAGAAACTGAGTCCAGCATCTCAACAGGGTCTGGAAGCTTGATCCACCCTAGCCTCAGCCAGCTCTGGGTGCTTGGCACAGAGGCTTTACACACTCAGGGAGGACTTTAGACCCTAAGGTGGATGTCAGTCAACCATGCAGAATGTTGTACCACTGTCTGGCCCTGAGGACAGTACTTTTTCATTTCAAATGCAAAACTTCCTTCACACATTGTTGACACATGATCATCAGGAAAAAAAATTAATTTCTGGGAGGGAATATAGAAATTTCCCTCCCCAGGTTGTCTATGGAGTTGCTTTTAAGGAACTATAAGTATAACCTCCGAGGGACAAGAGAACATCTCAATGAGCTGCAATGTCCTCAGAACAATCTTTCTCAATTCACCATCCCTCGCTTGTTATGCCCTTTATCAGTATCACAGCATTCTACAGCTAACCTCATCTGACAAGGAAACCACTTCAATTTAAAAAAATTATTATCTTTGGGTTTTACTGTTGCCATAGCAATAACTTTTTTTTTCTCATCTATATCATTTTACACTTCAACAAGACTGAATAGGATTATTTGTTTTAAAGCCAGAGCTATAAAATTGTTTCCATCAATACAAAAACAGTAATTGTGTCCTTAAAATTTACCATTGATGATAAATGCAACAACACAATGTCTATAAACAACCCCATAGCTTTCTCGGAATAAAGTGCTCTTTTCATTTCTATCATGCTGAGATACACGTTCTTTGATGTAGTTACCGGAGGGAATATAAAATTGGAAAGGGGAAGAATCACCATTCTGCAGCAATGGTATGGTCTCCTGTGATTAGTACGTGATGATTCAGATACACCAGTCTTCAAGTCCTTAGTTAAAGATTTATTGAGCATCCACTACCAAAATCAAGGTAAGAAATAAAAGGGTAAACATGCACCAATTCTTCAATTTTACTCTGTTAAAAAACATACGTATATTCAAATTGACTTTCATATTATAAGAAAACACTGGACAGAGAACTGATGTCATGATAATGTGTCTGATGAATGTGCATTTCCTCTGTCGTTGCTCATTGAGTAGCACCTCTCATACATTACCATATATGATACTTAAAATTACTTGTATGTAGGGGACCAATAGGTGGCATGGTGGTTAAGACACTGGACATTCCCAATGGCCGACTATGGTTCAAGTTCTGGATCTGGTGGCTTGCTTTCCCACTTTCTTTTTCTTTCTCTATGTCTCTCTCTGATCAAATTAAAAAATAAATAAATGAATAAATAAAATTTAATAAATAATTATTTTTTAAAATTACCTGTATGTAATAGCTTCCCCACTTTACACTGAAACTCAAGGAGACCCAGATGGTCTGAGAAAGTAGTTCTACAGCAAGCACCTAGTCAGAGAAAAATGAGAATTACCTCCAATACTTGAACTCTTGTCAGCTGTCATTTTGTATATAAGGTTTTTCTGAAAAACACTGTGTTTATTCATTTATTTGTTGTTTATTGTTGCTTTTGTATTAACAAGGCCAATGTGAGTAGCTGCTATAGGCTATAAGGTCAGATGGCCTACAATGTTTACTATCTGGGTATATATAAAACATAGAGATGCATTCAACGAATGGTAGAGCTCTTACTTACAACATCAAAGACCAAATGCCTATTAGCTTACAGCTTATGGAGAAGAGACGTTAAAGAGCCAAAATATTAGTATGCATTAACTATCACTGGCAGATTTTAGCAATATATTAAACGAAAGGGGTGGGTTCTGTCATTATCAGCTACCATGAGAGTTTAAATGGGAAGTTCAGAAAAATCTGTGGCCTCACATAGTTGGAGAGTTTTGTTGTATATGCATTTAAAATACTTGGAGGACTGTAGACAACTACTAATAATTCTAAATCAAACAAAAAGATTAAGTTCTTTGTCAAAAATCCGATTAAGGGGGCCAACAGAAGGCATAGTGGTTACACTACTGGACTATCACATGGCTGACCACTGTTCGAGTCCCAGACCAGATGGCTTGAGAATCACAGTGGGTGTGTGTGCATGTGTGCCCAAGATCCCAGCAAGAGAGTGGAGGAGGAGGGACTGCAGTATGGCCATCCCCATTGCGGGGGTGGTTTCTCACTTTTCCTCTCACTGTCCCGTGTGTATCTTTTACTTCAGTGAGAATATGCACCCTAGTGCAAAAACCTCAAAAAACAAAACAAAACAAAACAAAACACTTCAGATTAAGAATGAAAGAGGGAGAAGAGAGAAGAAACAATAGATTTGAAGAAGCAAAGAAATACATCGATAGGAGATTTCTATTTAGGAAAGTAATTCGGTTGTGTTGACTATGTGTTAACAAGATACTGACTGAAATGTATAAATTATAAAACTCAAAAGCTTTTGAGGGAATTTATATCACCTTAAAAGCCCATGATGAGAAAACTTAAAAAAAGAAAAAAATCACTGACAAGCGGAAGCTGTAAATGCTACTCCTGCCTTTCACGAAACTCATTTCAGAACTTCATGGAGGATACTGTACAGGGAACCTTCCTAGAATTCAGAACCAGGGAGCATGCAGATCAATGCAAAGGGAATAATCTCACAGAGAAGATTCAACTTAAACTTAAGGGACTTTCTCAACTGTAATTTTTCACAACACTGGTCAAATAGGATTCCATCAGAAGCGTGGAATAGAGGCCGTTATAATTTCCTCATTCTCACATTTCTAAAGCAGAGTTTTCACTTTGGTTTTTCTGTCCTGTAACAGTAATTGCATATTATGAGCAGTGTGTGCATGCGTCTGTGTGTGAGTGCTCATAGGCTTCTAAGAGACCAGAGTCCTTGTCTAAACCTGAATAATAAATATGCTCACTACCAGAGGTTCTGGTCTTCAAGATGAATATCTTTCCTTTTTATTATTTTTAAATATTTTTAGGGAGATTGTTGTTATAGGGTGTGTGTGCTCCCTGGAAAGACACAAAACGAGAGATCACACCCCACCCCGCCCCACCCCCGAGGGAAGGCCACACCACAATCCCTTCTCTTCCATCCTCTTGGGATTTGAGGCATGCACATAGCTCTGCGTGAGTTTGAAGCTATTGGGTCTGGGACTCTAATCCTAGCCATGTGGGAGTCCAATGATGTACCCATTATGCCATCTGCTGGTCCCAGATGGATATCTTAAGTCAGTGGAAAAGATGGCTAAGACAATGCCAGTTAGCTTCAATTTAAGACAGACGAAGATGTCAAGGTCAGTGTTTCTCAGCATCCAATTAGCAGAGACGTCACTGCCAAGAAAGGCCCTGATATAATTTGTGAATTTCTTCATTTCTATCTAAGCATTTTCAATGACAGAGACCCCAAGCGCTTTATACACTTATTTAATAGGGATTAATGACTGCCTACTATGCTGAAATTGCCAGGAAAGGGAAAGAAGAGAATGACTGATGGATAAACACCTATGTGTAAGAAACTGTGCTAGAAATGAAACCACTCTCTGAATGTCGTACCTCTGAATGCTTGTCCTATCTTTCCACCTGTGCCCCTTCCCATTTCTTTTTACAAAGCTGAGTCGTCTTCTGTATGGACAGTCCCCATAATTTTTTTTTTAACTTTATGATGGG